ATTAGGTACTTATTCACTTGCACACTTTTACGGCGTTATCTCACAATTTTCGCACTTCTTGCACTTGTTTGTTTATTTATGTATTTATTTATTATTTATTAACGATTACCGATATTTCCGGATACTTTGTTTCGTTTTTGGTACTTTACATTTGTATCGTATACGCCACTTAGGAGGGATCTTGACGCATCCGACCTCTTCGAGTATCAAGACTGTACTATGTACATGTTAATTCTTTAACATTTTTTAACAAATTACCTAAGAAAACCCAGGGCAAATTAGGCTAACTTGAAAGGTTAATAACTTTTTTATTTTAAATGTAACATCCGGTTTTTACATAATCACATAGTAAATTAAAAAATCTTTCGATTGATGTTACTATTCCCTATACCTAAAGTTAATAACTTTAGAGATATTTAGCAATTTCTAAAATTTTAAATATTACTTTGTATCAAGAAACCTGTGACGGGTGAGTTGACGGTATCTATGGTTACCACGTAATCTCTCATTGTTTAAAATTTAATGGCGTCAATTTATAGTTTTTTAAATAATTTGCGAAATTACTGATAAAAAAATAGCAGTCACTGACTCATAAAAAACATTGACAAGCCAAACATTTTTAAAATTTAAAAGTAATAAACCAAAAAATCAACAAAACTGTAGGATGTCTTCTACATGAAGCACTAGCTTATTGAAGACATTAAAAAATTAAATGCCAACCTGATTTAATAATTATAAAATATTTTAATAATAAAAAAAATTTAATAAACCAACAATTAACAATTTTTATTACCAATAACCTATCTAATTTTTAATAAATGTTCAAAGTGTCCTCCATTTATATTCAAGCATTTTCTAATTCTCACTTCTACATTTGACGTTGCTTTTCCTAACTCTTCTGGGTCTAATTCTTGAAAAGCAGCCTGGACACGGTTTCGTAGTTCGTCTTTTGAACGCAGTGGAGTTGTGTTAGTGTACACTTTGTTTTTTCTAGTCCCCCATAAATAAAAATCCAAAGGCGACAGATCTGGAGATCTTGCAGGCCATGACCACGGACCCAAACGACGAAACCATCTGTCTTCAAACATTTGGTATAGCTCTCTACTTACAGCTTCAGTACAGTGAGCTTGTGCTCCGTCTAGCTGATACCAGCATTCTACAGCTTCATTTAACGGTAAATTGTCTACGAAATCATCAACTACTGTTCGTAATATTTCTAAATATTTTTGACTAGTCAATGCCTCATCATAAATGTAATAAGCCAGGGTGTTGTCTTTTATTAATGCAAATACGTTAAAACTAAATTTTACTTGAAAATTCTGTTCTTTGGTTAAGTGTGGATTTTCATCACCCCAGAAGTGATTAGCTCTAGTATTGAAAATGCCTTCTCTGGAAAATTTGGCTTCATCAGTCCAAATTACTTTTTTCTTAAAATTTTCATCTTCTTGAATTTTTACCAAGAACATTTCACAGAATTCTACTCTCGCAGCGCCATCTTGAGGGTGCAGATGCTGCACTTTTGTAAATTTGTAATCATGCCATTTGTACTTCTTTAAAATACGATGCACCGACGAGACTGAAACACCCAGATTATCTTGAGCGCTTCGAATTGATGCTTGAGGATAAGCGCGGAAGTACGCCAAAACATTAATTTCTGTTTCTTTGTTACTGGTTATAGGATAAACTTTATTTCTTACGGCATTTTGTCTTCCACGTGCCTCAAAATTACCGTAAATTCGCCGAAATATTTTTGGTGTGATTGCACGCACATTTGGATATCTTGTGTTAAAAGTTCTGCAAGTTCTCGTTACAATTTTACTGCACTCTCCAAATATTGCAAAGAGGTTGAGAAGGTCAATATTTGTGTATTCTTGATTCATTTTTACAAAACACTTAATTAGTTAACAAATTATTTAAAAAACTATAAATTGACGCCATTAAATTTTAAACAATGAGAGATTACGTGGTAACCATAGATACCGTCAACTCACCCGTCACAGGTTTCTTGATACAAAATAATATTTAAAATTTTAGAAATTGCTAAATATCTCTAAAATTATTAACTTTAGGTATAGGGAATAGTAACATCAATCGAAAGATTTTTTAATTTACTATGTGATTATGTAAAAACATACCGGGTGTTACATTTAAAATAAAAAAGTTATTAATCTTTCAAGTTAGCCTAATTTGCCCTGGGTTTTCTTAGGTAATTTGTTAAAAAATGTTAAAGAATTAACATGTAATCTTTTAAACAATGTTTTAGGATTCCAAAAATTCCACCCCCATATTCGCAAACCTAATAACAAAAAAGTTATAGGCTATTTTTGATTGCCGAGCATTTGTCAAATTTTAACGAAAAAAATTAATAACTCGAAAACTATTCACTTTAGGTATAGGACATGGTATAGTAATATTACTCAGAATTTTATGTAGAACTTAAAAATGAAAAAATATATGGGGTGTTCTATTTAAAATAACAAAGTTGATGTCACTTCCGGTTAAACCGGAAGTGGAATTTTGTTCAAAATATTTTAGAAAAATAGTTTTAAATGGATTATAAACGCTTTTAAAATTTCAAATCGATATCTTTTTCCGTTCCCCAGAAACTTCTAATGGTCCACGAATGTGAAACACCCTGTATAACACGGTATATTTTTGTCTAAAACAAACGAAATATGACTAAAAATGACAATTTTGTAGAAGTTTTTTTTGTTGCTTTTTTAAGAAAAATTTTGGTTGTGATATATCATTTTAAAAAGAATTTAATAAAATAGAACCTGAAAATATATATTTATAAATTACTTTTTAAAAAAGTATTTGTTAGCGCGACAACTCCCAGATAGCACAAGATAACCCACAGACGTCCTATTTAGGTAATTCTCGGCTTAGCCAGACCGAACGGGTCTGGGACATCCATAGAACGTCAAGTCTAGACCCTGTCCGGCTTAGCCTGATTAGGCGTATTTTGGACGTCCAAAGTAAGCCAAATAAGGCTTAGCCGGACCAGGTCTATAATTGACGTTCTATGGATGTCTCAGACCCGTTCGGCCTGGCTAAGTCGAGAATTACCTAGATTGGACGTTCCTGCTCACACAGCACAGGATGTCCAAATGACGTCCATTGGACATCCTTTGGACATCTTGTGCTATGTGGGTGCACCCATGGGCTATCATGCCTAAACTTTTCGTTCAAGAAATTTCGGATATGTAATAAATTGTGGGTAATATTAAATATCATGTACAAATTATATAAACCACCTATTTTTATGAGGTTTCTCTTTTGCCTTCTTTGGATGTTCGTGGGACAGCCTGAGGGTGTCACAGAGAGTCAATCAAATCGATTAGCCTTATTATAAGAAAGATTAATTTACAAAAAAATTAAGTTTATTATTGAATATAGGTAGTTTATAATACATATTCGTACTATTCGTCGGGATTTATACATTTATATTTAATTTAAAATTTCTTGTTATCACGTAAAGGTAGTAAAATCCATTATTGCATCATTTTTAAATTCAATTAAATTCTATTACCATTGATTAATAAGTTCACTACTTCTTTACTCAACGCTATTACGTTTAAATGTATAAAAACACCATTATTATAACGTATAGTTTTAAATTTTAAACATCGGTCTTCTTCGGGTAGAACCGAACGGGTTCGTGAAGACGCTTCCCATAATCCGTTGCAATGGCGTTCTTTTGCTGTGTGATGGCGTTTATGGCGGTGTTTCTACATTGTGTGTTGTGATTTATACTAGGTATTGGCTGTTTATAGACTTGTAATAGAATAAATTCAAGTAAGTAATTAGATTAGATTTGTTTTGACTAATAGACTGTACCACACAAACAAAATTTACGGTTGCACTGATAATTGGGCGTAAACAAATCGTGAAAACAAGGATTTAAAAAAAATATTTTATAAAACACATTTTTATTGTTTTTACTTTCCAAGGGATTTCTTTCTATACTTTCTAAATTTTATTTTATCCTCCCAAAGCCCTACATCAAAATTTTACAACAACCAAACTACAAAGTGAGGTTATCATTTTTATTGTTATCTAGAAAAGCTTTTATTTATTTAATATCTAAAAAAGCTTTTATTCCTATTTAACCGTGAATTTTTTTTATGTGGTGCTCATGAGCTCATATACCGTTCCTTCATTTGCAAGCTATACATAGCCTATGTCATAGGGAAAATACATTGTAGGTGGACCAGACAAGTTGAAGTCAGCGCAAAGCAAGGAATGTCTGAATTTCGAATTTACCGGCAGTGGACGTCCAATGGATGTCATTTTGACACTGAGATGTCCAGGGGATATCCTTTGGACGTCCTCTGGACATTTGTGCTGTAATTATAATATAGGTGAATAAAAATGTTTGGTTAAAAATTTTAGGTGTTTTAGTTTTTATTCCTGTAAGCCAAATTATGGCCAAATTTGGTCCTAGGACAGTCTTTAATAGACCATTATAGGACGGCCAAAGGACAACCAAAAGTGTCTACTTTGGAAGTCCTACGGACGTCCATTCGTGGTCTTCGTATATCCGTAGGACGTCCACTATGTCCTGGGTTGACGTCCTAAGGATATCCAGTGGACGTATGTGTGCTATCTGGGCTACCTTAATTAAACGCAGTCAGGTTGGCCTATTTAAATTTAATTTTTAGGATTTTAGGAGTTTTCAAGATTTAAGCCAAATTTTAGGAATTTTATGAGTTTTAGGAGGTATGAGAGCCCTGCTAATGTGATATATTTAATATAACCACCCAAAGCTTCTTGGTTAAATTTCTAAAATAATTTTTAACAACTTTCAGAAGTCATTTTGAACTGTTTATTATAAAAAAAGCGTACGAGCACGAGCTTTTTGGGCGTCCAGTTAAATGGTCGAAAAATGTATTATAGGGTAAGAGCAATTAAAGTATAAATTAATGTACAAAATTTGATATAAACGTTTACCCTAGTTTTAACATAAAATTAAGTTATAAAGTCAAAATACTACCCACCTAACCAAAGATTGCTGCTCCTTAAATGCTTGATCTTTTAATCTATTTAATAAGTCATATTGTTTTTCTTTATACTTTCGTATCCTGTCTTCTGTCGCTAATGTTTCTTTCCTTAAAACTTCAGAAACAACTTGTCCAATACTTTTAATTGTTTGTTGAGTTTCAGGTGAAAACAGATCTAACAAAATAAATAATTATAAACATAACAATAATGTTATTAAATAATTAGTATTATAGTCGCGGCCAAATATGCATGGATGCACGAAATCAATGCAGTGTAATGACCTTATTAGCATTTCCATTTTCCATTTAAAATTGCTTGAAAAAAATATCATTCATATGCGTATTGTATACCAATAACTGTAAAAACGTTGATGTTCACCCATGTAGATTTGACCGCGACTATATTAATTACATGTCTGAATTAAACTATCCCCAGTTTCAATATTGTTTGGATAAATAACTATATTGTAAATAGAAGAAACTAATCCACTTGATTTCAATTTTAAAACTGCATCCATTTCCTAAAATAAACAAAACTTTTAGTTATAATATCCAAGCATTCATTACTAAAAAATATATCTATACCGCACAGTGGTCTGGGGCTTATTCTCTAAATAAATAAAAAATTATAGCATAATGTATATAATAAATATATATATATAGAATATAATATTTATAAACTAATGGTAAAAATTATATATTCTATGTATAAAGAAAATTTAAATTAGCGCTCACCTAAAAAATCACACTTCGTTATTATAACAAAAATAAATATATTTTATAGTAAAAATGTATCTAAAAACATGTATTTAAAAAAATATATATATTTTTTAAATTATTTATTATATATGTTTAAAATTATATTAAATAATGTAATACCTTGTAAAATGATTAAACTCAACACTTAACTAGGGATAAGTTTCACTGTCCAATTCCGTCCAAGCTAAAACTTAAACCAAATTGTAGCTTGAAGTATTACGAATAAAGCTATATAAAGTTATCCTGCCACGAGGTAACAAGGAAAAAAATTATAGCAGATTATACAATGCGGCGCGCTGAGATTCTTCCATTCAAAAATCTTAATACCCTCTCTTCTTAAAGCGTTTTAACTTTTATCTTATAATATATATGTTAATAAATGGGTGTATACTTATTTTAAATACTTTTTTATTTGTTTTTAATACAATAGATAAAATTTAATACAAATTAGTTGAAATAATTATTAATTCCATTTCTTGTGTAGTGTAGTTAAATTATTCTAGTAGTAGTACTATATTTTAATAATTGATACTAATTAGATAATGTACTTTTTTATGTATGAAAGTAAATTATTTAATAAGTACCTGAATAATACTATAAATTAACACGGAGTTGCTTGGAAAATAGTTTCATTATTTTCACAAAGGAAAATGTGAAACTCCATCAACACCAACATCAAAATCACCTGGAAGCCCTACCAAGCTTTTTATGGAATCCAGCGAGAGGACTAAAAGGCGCAAATGTTTACAAATAAGGCAAAATATGGGTATTGACGGATTATTTTTTGTATAAGAACTAATGTAATTCAATAGCAATAAAGAAAATATACCATACTTCGGGAGAAATTCAGCTATCAGGTAAAGTAGCACTTGCATTACTCTTGAAAATTTCACAAAATGCCACAATTCTAATTTATTTCCAGCGTTTGAACATATCCTAAAATCCAAGGGTGAATGTAATGCTAGAGATATAACTTCGACCGAAATGGGTTCTGCAATTTGTACAGTCACGTTTAGACCACACTGCAACACGTTTGCTTGAATCTATAAAACATAGTAACAATGGCAAGCCAATTAATATGGAATTAATATTAAAATGGGGTTGTGATGGATCATCAGGACAGGAAGAATATAAGTAAACATTTTCAAGCTCCTCCACTGCTACCGATTCCAGTATATTTACGAGTTTAATTGTGCCAGTCTTACTTACTTACTTACTTACTTACACCAGACATTGACTTTCTGGGAATATTGATCTTTATAATTTATAACCCAGTGAGGATTATCTCTGGCCCAGTATCTATAGTTTTGAGACGATACCACCCCATTAGTAGCCCATCAGTAAACATAATCTATTCCGGAAGTGAGGAGGAAGTGTTTGGTTAGGCCCAAAATGACCTAAATGTCATAAATGTGTGGACTAAAAAAACAATATTAAACTCAATGAAACTAAGTGCAACTATCTAGTCATAAAAAATAGAAGAAACTTTGATAACTATTCGCTAAAATTAAATAATCAAATTTTTGATAGAGTGAATAGTGCAAAATATTTAGGTTTAATTATTGATGACAATCTTAGTTTAGTGTAACCACATTCAAAGTCTTAAAGATAAAATTGGTAATCTAGGCTACTATCTTAGAAGAAATGCTTATTTAATTAACAACAAAACAAAATATTTAATATACAATGCATACATTAATTCCCACCTAACATATCTTCCAGCCTTTTGGGGGCATGCAGCAAAAAAGGACTTTGCAAATAACTCAGAACAGACTTCTAAAACTTTTATTTAACAAACCTTATCGAACCTGTACTACAGATTTATATAATGAATTGAATATATTAAACATTAATGAGGAGATAATGTTGGACAGTGTTAAAGTACTGTACAAAATCAAAAATAACCTGATAAATACAACAATTAACTTAACTACAAACTGTGACAAACACACATATAATACTAGAACAAACGAAAACTACCACATAGATCCAAACACCACCAAATTTGGAGAAAGGAGAATAACGCAATCTGCCCTGAAGTGGTTCAACATACTGCAGTTTTAGTGATTTTTTACACTTTTCAAAGCTTTCAAACATACGAATTTTTGAATAAAAAAAGATAATCCTAGTATAGATTCTTTGGGAAATTTTATGCTCTACAAGAATCCGCGACGTAAAAATTTTTATCTCAAACGGTTCAAAAGTTATAGTCTTTTTAATGAAAAAAGATTTTTTTTACGTGTTATTTCAATGGAAAACTTAGAATGCTCACCGACACCTTTTAAAATTGAGCAAAAAATTTTGCCTTGCAGGGAAATTTTTTGCTCGGTATGTAAGTTCATTTTAACCCATAAATCCGATAGGTTAGTTTTTTTGGCTCACCCTAATATATATATATATATATATATATATATATATATATATATATATGTATATAATATATACTATATATATGTTGTCGGTTTTTGGTTCTTAAAAGAACCGTATGTCTGACGTTTCGGTACAATCTCATGTACCATCTTCAGGTCTTATCTGGGCTGCTTTTGCTGTTTTGCTGCGAGTAAGACGTGGAGCAGGAGAGCAGCAAGTAAATAAACAAATAAAATTTGTCATCGTTTTTCCATGCCAAAACATTCCCCAAATTAAACCAACTTAATCCAAACTGCTTTTGTATATTTTTGGGCACAATTTGATCAATTATTGTTGGCCATCGCGATTGCAATAAAATCATAGGAATTCATAACTTCGACATATTGTACATTTATTGGCAAAACTTTTCCAAAGGTGAAAAGGCAATTCTTGGCCAAGTTTTAAACTGATATGGCTCTCTGATAATGTAAAAATGTAAACAGAAATTAATTCCTCTAATAACAGTTATGCTAGCATATATCAAACATTTTGATGATAATATGTTCGCGGGTAAACTACTAATTACAGAAGAGGCCCCAAATTGGATCCCTAGGGCACTCCTAAACTTTGCTTAAAAGATTTAGTCGTACATGTTTTGAGGTTTTTAATATATGATTTTAAAATAGTTATTAGAGTAAAATTTAAATTAAATTTAAAAAAATGTTTAATTAGTATGGCATGTTCCAATTTATCAAATTTTTTTATCAGTTATTTAACCAATGTTTAGTATCTTGCATAAAATTTAATAAATTTGAAACCGTAAAGCGTTTTGACATAAAGTGTTGTAAATTACTAATTTTTATTTTAACTTCATTAAATAGCATATCATAAATTAGCATTTCAAAAATCTTAAACATGCAGTTAAGTATACTCACAGGTAAGTAATTCTTTGCCATATTCTTTTCTCCAGATTTAAAAATTTTACTTATTTTTAACAAATTTAGGAAAACTCCCATCTTAAAGCATATATTAAAAATAAAAGTAAATGTTTCAGCAAGAAATTCAGTGCAACCTTCAAATAAATAAAAAACATTAGGGCTTAAAATTATGTACTTTTAGACATTTAGACTTTTGTTTGGAAAGTATACCGATTTGAAGAAGTTAGCAAAAGAATTTGCTATATTTTGGCCACCACAACTCGAAATACGTTGCTGGCTCTTGGTCTAGTAAGTCAATTAAAAAATGTGCAAAATGGCCTGTCCTTTTAAAAATATTATTACCATATTATTGTCCTAATCCCATCGTGCCTAAAATATATGTTTTTGCAATACACACCCAAAAGTGTTTAACAGCTCTCCTACTAGCACTACGGATTTCATACGTAGATAACCAAAGTTTCTTAGTAAACCTAAAGAAACGCGTTGTCGGCAATAACAAGCTGGCATATTTCATGCAACAGTAAGCCAATAAGTTGGAAGTCCAAAACATTTCCCGTCAGTTGCATGCAAACTGCAAGAAAAATGTTTCGGCCCAAGTTTGACACGTATTTCCAATAATTTCTGATTAAGAGTTGTATTCAACAGAGGTGTAACCGACAGGCAACACATTTCCTAAAATACCTTGTTGGTCAGTTGCATGAAAACTGCAAGAAATTTGTTTCCGCCCAAGATAGCCGCTTATTTTCAATAGATTCCAGTCAACAATTGTATCCAACAGAGGTGCAACCGACGGCCAACATATTTCCAACATTAAAGAACCGCGCTTGCGCGAGAGTCCCCGCTACCGTTGCTCACCATTTGTTCTTTATAATTTATGTTTTGTTCCGAGTATGTTTACGACGTGTTGATTAATATAAACAAGAAATCTATCAGGTATGTTTTATACACGCAATAGTTATCTATTAGCTTTAGGTATAGCTATATATATATATATTATATATAGCACTGTTAAAATAATGCAGAACAAATTCGATGATTTGTAAAATCACCGGGCGGAATAAAAATCGATAAGGTGAATCCCTGAATATATGCTTAAAATTGTTTCTTTCTTCTTTTAGATCTAAAATTGATCAATTTTGATATATGTACCTATATCCATATGGAAAAATCTAAAAATCCTTTGAAAATAAAAAAAAAATACAAAAAAGAAACCAAGACGTAAGTAAATTTTTAAATAATTTGTAAGTGAATCTTCTTTCGGCATAGTACCTAAATAAAGGCTATAAAAATGTAGGATTTTTGAAAGATGTTGTTTTTTCTTTGAAGTATTATAATTTTATAAGGGTTTTTATTCAAATAACATCAATTTATTTAAAATTTCAGAAGCTATTATAATAGCGGTAATTTTAAATTAATTAATTAATGTAATATCTTTTTTGTATACAAAAATTTGTAGTATACTACAACAAATTTTT